TTTTTTTTTTTGCGAGGAGGTAGGGGGACCCCCCCCGACTCGAAACCCGTTCCCCACCCCCCAAACCCCCTCCCCGATCGGCCGCGTTCGGCCGCGGCCGGGGGGGGCCCGGCCACGGCCGATGGCCGCGGCCTCGGCCGAACTTGGCTGCGGCCAGGGGGTAACATAGGTGTGGATGCCCTCGTGGATTGCCCAGTTCCTCTCCGCTGAAGAGGTGCAGGACCACATGTGCATCACACGAAGAGCGCACCGCTGCACCTCAAGCGCCCTAGCCCCGTACTGGGACCACCAAGATGCGCACTCGATCGTCTCGGTGTCACCGATACACGCGCGCTCATGAGCACACCCCTCCTCCCCACCCCAATCACCAAACACGCCCTGCTGCATGTGGAAGTCCTCGAACTGCCGACAGGCAAGGAGGTACTCCGCACCATCCAACTCGAAACCCGTCTGCGTTAGGATGTACCTCTTGGCTTGCCTCACAAGCCAAGCATGGTACTCCGACACCTCGCCGAAAAAGTAGTGAACATGTCGCCTGCAGGGGTTCAGTAAGAACCCAGTGCAGTGAGCTGGCTCAAGCATGTGCTGCGTGCGGGTCTGCACACGCCTGATGATGTGGCCTGTGTATGAGGACCCCAAAGGAGCGCATGCCTCCTTCACCCACTGCACAAGATCCTACGCCCACTCGAGCATGAACGACATGAACTGCCCCCCACAATCCATCCACCGGAGCAATTGAATCACAGGCTCCATGATATGGACGATGGTGGCCACCCTCTGCCACCAAGGATCCCATCTGATCTGTCGGCGCACCCAACGCACCATGTAGCAAACATCGGCGGACCACGGGATAGAGGCAAAAGCCTGTGAGTCCTCTCCTCGCATCATGCCCTGCAAAGTGTCCTGCAGGGCCAGGAGCCTCTCCAACATGGAGTACACAGTCGCAAACCGCGTCTCGCATGAAAGAAAAAACCCCATGCTGGGGCTGCGCTTCCTAAAAAAATGAAGGGTCGCCTGGTGGGTTTTGAAAAACACCACTAGCATACGAACGAGTGTGATAGTATCAATGAACGCGTCGCAACATGTCCCCATGTCTGACAAGAATTTGTTGTAGACACGGACTGAGCATGGGAGCCAACTGATCCTCCTCAATGCAAGAGGCATGGTCCCCGACGCCAGAGCCCTGGCAGCCCCGACGTACGCTGAAGCGGAGTCAGTGCATATTGCATTGACCCGCATGGCCCACCGAACCTGAACTCGTGAAAAACCTGGACCCATCTCAGAAGGACATGCTCAGCATCGTCCGGCTCCCCCTCTCGATTAATCTTCGTGTACATGACGACCCCTCGAGAGCCTGCGGTGAGGAAATTCACGATCGGTCTCCCGTTTCGTGATTTCCTCCCGTCTGAGAGGATGGTGGCACCAGTCACCCAGAATGGCTGCCTCACCTCCTCCAACTCCTCGGCCAACTCCGCACGGTGGGTCTCCACCGCCTGCATGCTCGCAATCTCGCTGTGGCTGGGAAGCACAGCGTGCGGCGAACTGCCAGGCTTTTGAAGAAGCACCTGCTGGTATGCCTTCCATGCCTCGTTGCGAAAGGCATTGAAGGAAATTCTGCTGGAATAAAGCTAGCGAAGGAAGGTCTTCTTGTGGCGAGCAACCCACTCGCCACCATACACCTCATCCACCTTCTGTTGTCTCAGCCTCTTTCCGGCTTGGGTGCCAGCCAGAACAGCTCCTTTGTACTTCCTCTTGGAAGAATCCTCCCCCGTGTCACCCTGCGTTGGAGGCACTTGCCCCTTGCCCCCTCGCCGCTGCCAGTCCACGATCCTCTCCCCCGTCAATGGATCGAACTCTGGCATGTCCTTGTGTCCCGGGAATGCCTCCCGCCGCTCCCGGGACGTGCCTCGTGCCTCGCGATCGACGATCATCACGTCCTCGTCGATGTCACCGCCTCCATCCCCCGCTAGCAGGTCGGGCTCACCATGCCCGCCATCTACCCCCGCCCCCACCTGTGAAACCGCGTGCTGATTGAGCGCGGGGTCGGAGCTCAAATTTTTGAGCTCCGCTCAATCCCACGCTCAAAAGCGCTTGAGCGGGGTTTGAGCGGGCACGGGAGTATTGTTTTCTCCAGAAAAAAATAAGCAAAATACAAACCAAAGAATACAGGGTTGTAGATCCTTTTGATATCTACAACCTTGTATTTTTTATTTTATTTTTTGAAGTCTTTCTGTATTTTTAAAAAATCAAAAACATAAACGAAAGAAAATAACAAAAAAAAACAACGTGAAATGGGTGGGTTTTTCTTTTTTCTCACAGAGATTTTTTTGCAGGCAAAAAATTAACAAAACAAATCATAAAAAATACAGTCTTGTAGATATTTTGGAGATCTATGACCCCATTTTTTTTTTGTATTTTTTCAAAGTTCGTATATGTTCAAAAAAACGAAAAACGTAAAAACGAAAAAAAACGACACTCACTGTGACTTACAGACCCCGCTGAACCCAGGCCTGCCCACACACACACACATGAACACACACACACACACGGGTACAGAGACACACACACACACGAGCACAGACACACACACACACACGGGCACAGACACACACACACAGACACACACACACACACACACACACACACACACACACACACACACACAGAGCCACCACCTCCCCCACAACATCCCCTGCCTACATGCAACCCCCCCCACAACATCCCCTGCCTACATGCAACCCCGTGGCGTGCGCGCGCACTTTTTTTGACAAGCGCGTGCGCCTCAAAACGCTTTGAGCGCGTTTGAGCGCGGTAGGGGGGTCTTTAAGTGCGCGCTTAAGCACAAGCGCTCGCGCTCACGCGCGCTGAAGCGGTTTCACTGCCCTCCAGCTCACGTGGACGCTCCGCCTGTCCTATCGTCGCACCACTAGGGCACATCAAGTCCACGCTCCGCTTCGTAATGGGAAACCCTCTCCATCTGGTCGGACTCAAACTTTCGTTTCCTGATCTCGTACAAGGCCTCGTCGCTGACGTCCTTGCAGTCATTGATCTGGACGAAGTGCCTCGTTGCCTAGAATATAGTCCCCTGAAAAACTTTGTTGCAAAATATGCAATGCAGCATCATCACCCCCTTTTGATCGACCTTCTGGCCGACGACAAGGTACCGATACACAGGGGACCTTCCCTTGAACGTATCCTTCCCCTCCTGCGAAGCAGGCTCATGCTGGCGCCGTTGTGCCCTACCCATCGCGAGTCTCCTTGGCCCCGCTCTCAATCGTCGACCCGGAGCCCTGCCGTCGTCGTCGACCCCTCCAACCCCTCCCACCCACCAACCCCCTTCCCTTCCCCCCCCGACCTCGACCCGCACACGCTTGATGCCGCTGTCCTCAGGAACCGGCCGATGGACGGCCGCGTTCAATCAGGTTTAATCACGTTTAAACGCGTTCAACCGCGTTTAATAGTGTTTAAACGCGTTCAATCGCGTTGAAACGCCTTCAATGGCGTTTAACGCCGTTGAATTAAAAATTCAACGGCGTCAATCGTCGTCGCCCGTCGATGTGCAGATCCGCCGTCGTCAATACCGCCGCACGCACGCTCCCACTCTACCACCTCTCCTGCTCCGCTCCAGCCGCCCCTCCCTCTCTCTCTCTCTCTCTTTCTTTCTCTCTCTCTCTCTCTCTCTCTCTCTCTCTCTCTCTCTCTCTCTTCCTCTCTCTCTCTCTCTCCCCCCCCCCTCTCTCTCTCTCTCTCTCTCTCTCTCTCTCACTCTCTCTCTCGTCCACGCGTTTGACGCAGGGGGGACCCGTTTATCGTGTTGGAGCGTTATGGCTCGCACGGCAAATGAGGTAAGACCGAACGCAACGGCCTTCTTTAGTACCCGTTCGGAATGTTCCCCTTGCGCCCCTCCCCAGCAGACCGCCGAAGGCCAGTACCCCGCAAACGCCCTGCACGACGCAAAGGGGTTCACGAGGGTTTTTTAATTTTTTTATTTAAAAAAAAAAAAAGCATGGGGTGGTACCCGACAACGGACACTACCACCCCACACCTTCAGAATACCCGACCCCCCCCTGAAAACGCGCGAAACTAGGGTTCGTAGGCCCCGTTCATTCGCGTCCAAGGCGCGTTTGAACAGGAATTGAACGGGACTTCAACGCGGGTTCAATTTTTCAACGTGGAACCCGCGTTGAATCCATTTTCGGACATACAGGTGTTGAGAATTGTTAAGTGTTGAGGTGTAGGTCTAAGTGGTAAGGAGGCGGAGTCAACTTACCTGTGTCAACCCTCGCCATGGATGGCTACTTGATGTTTGGCTTCTTGGCCCTGTCCGCCATATGGGCCCCCCTCCTTCGTTTCCTCTTTCCACTTGGATGCGCCCGAACTTTTGGCATGCACGCCGTGAGCCGATCCGAGGGGACTACCTAGCTATGAAACACCCGTGGACGCATATACGTCCTCGTTCACGGCCGACCTCGTCCGCGCCTCGGACGTGATTTTACCATATTTTTCCTGATTAAAATAATGGGTAAAAAAAAATTAAAAAAATGGGATTGTAGTCAGGGTTACCTGACCAAACGTTCGGGGCCCCCCGGGCTGGCTCCCGAACGTTCGGGCATTCGGGGTCCCGTTCGGGGGCCGAACACGTCCAGGTTCGGCCCCTCCCAAAAAACACTTCGGGGCCTAAAAATATATTTTTTTTTCAAAAATTTCGTTTGTGAGTTCTCTATGACGTAACCTACACGCCTCTAAATTTTGAAACCATTCTGCTAAGCCAATAGAACATTAAAAATCGTCAAAGATGGGGGTGTCAAAACGTGCTCGCCCACTCACTATTTTGTTTTTTTTCACTTTTAACTTTTTGTTTTCACTTTATTTCGGGGCCTAAAAAAAAAAAACAAATTTTTTGAAATATTTTTAATGAGTTATTGATTATGTAAACTACATATCTGTAAATTTTCAGGGCATTTTTCAATGCCAAACAATAATAAAAAATCGGCAAAGATGGCGGTGTCGAAACGGTGCTGGCACACTCACTCATTTTAATTCTCTTTTTATTTTTATCATAGTGTTTATTTTCTGTATTTGATTTT